TTTTTTTTTTGTTCAAGGCTGGTGCTCTACCACTTGAGCCACAGCTCTACTCCCAGCTTTTGGGTGGTTAACTGGAGATAAGAGTCTCATGGACTCTCCTTCCTGGGCTAGCTTTGAACCATAATCCTCAGATCTCAGCCTCTTGAGTAGCTAGGATTACAGGCATGAGCCACTGGTGCCTAGGTTTAATGTATGCTATTTTTTTTAAAGAAAAGAATACATACAAATTGCTTTTTCTTGTCAGTAGAAAGCCTGTTCATTTCTTCTTTATCGGCTTTCATCTCTTCTTCATTATACTGAAAGTCACGAACAATGAATCTAAATTTGGAGGGAAAAATAACCACAAATGTGTTCATACTATACACAGCTAATCTAACAAATTAAAGAAAACAAAAACATAATAGTCTTACTTGTTTTCCCTGGCTTTGTGTCTGAAATCATCAACCGCCTTCCTAAACAAGGTGACATTACAAAGGTAACTGTCTTGGTCCTCTGAGAGAACACTGAGGACAAAACAGAAAAAGATGGTTATGAATTTCTGTACTTACTGCTCTCATTCCTATCAAGAGCAGAGTTCAGAAGAGGTGCAAGGCAAGGGATACTACCATTCCCAAAGCATATCAATTCTTTATGTGTACTGTCTCTATACTGAACCCCCTGGATGTTTCTTTATGATGCCTTCATAGTCTCTATTATATTTACTTCTTATTAACCAACAAAATTAAACTACTAACTCAAGTGAAAAATCTAAGAAGCACTTTTCAAAAAAAATAAAGACCCAGGACCTATAGCAAGTGGTAAAGCTCTTGTCTGGCAAGTGTGGGCCCCACATTTGATCACCCGTATTAAAAACAAAACAAGCAGCAAGCTCTCTATCAGTTTCTCTATCAGTGCCAGATTGGTTGCTGATAATGTCTCCTTGCTACTCAAGCATATTCCCTTCTTGTCTGGAAAATCAGTTCTCTTTCCTCTCTCGAATCTAACCCAGCCAGCCCAACTTCACAGCACTGCCCCAACCTCATACTTCAGAGATCTTTGTTCTTCCATCACTCAATGTACTCTGCATATCCTAGGCTCTATTTTACGTTTCTAAAGATGTCAGTGAGCTCAGAACTCAGTCCCATCTCTAGAAATCACTAGAAAGACCTCTCTGGGAACAATTGCCAAGAAATTTTAACTGTCACATCAATTTGTAATGCCTTCGGGTAAAAGTCCACTATTTGAAAGGCAAACTGTATGGCTCATATGATATGTAATTTGGCTTTCAAAAATCACCTATGAACATGCAAAGGCTATGGAACTGTATACCCACTCCGTCATGACCTTGTGCTCGGGGATCATTACCAAGAGTTTCTTGCTCTTCTGTAATTCATGTATTTAATTTGTGTATTTTTAAAGCAACTTTATCAAGCTTTGATGACATAAAAAATTGTAGACTTTAGTTAAATCTGGACATATATATACAGATGAGACTATCTTCCACAACAAAGGTAATTAACACTACTATGTCTAAAAGCTCCCTTATGCCCTTATTGTTTCATTTTTAAATGTTTAGTTTTTATTTACAATGTGGTGTTTTTAATTTTTTTTTGGTTGATTCTGGGGCTTAAACTGTGGGCCTAGGAACTATTCCTGAGCTTTTGTGCTCAACACTAGTGCTCTACCATTTGAGTCACAGCTTTATTTCTGGCTTTTTCTAATTGGAGATAAGAGTCTCACAGACTTTTCTGCCCAGGCTGGCTTCAAACTGTGATCCTCAAATCTCAGCCTCCTGAATAAGTAGAATTATAGGCATGAGCCACTAATGCCCAGCTTCTTCTGAAAAAAAAATTTTTTTTGGTCCGGTCGTGGGCCGGAACTCTGGGCCTGGGCACTGTCCCTCAGCTCTTCAGCTCAAGGCTAGCGCTCTACCACTTGAGCCACAGCGCCACTTCCAGCTTTTTTTTTTCTGCTTATGTAGTATGGAGGAATCGAATCCAGGGCCTCATGCATGCAAGGCAAGCGCTCTACCACTGAACCACCTTCCCAACCCACTTCTTATGAAATTTTTTAAAAAATTAGTTTGATGAAATGGAAGGGATCTCGTGGAATTTAATGATACTTTATTAAATTGTACTAAAAATAAAAAGCAAATTCCATTGTTCTCAGAAACTTAAGGACTACTTAGTTAGCCAGATACATACTGGTGCCAGCTACAAAGCTGAACTGAAGACTGGCTTAAAGCACTGAACCAGTCCTGGCTTTTAGCCAAGCAGAGAGGGACAACCTTACCTCCCTAAAAAGGACCAACAGATACTTGAGTTGCCATCATTTTGTGATCATTTACATGCAGAAGAACTCCACTTCTCTAGATTTAAAACATTTAAATCTCCTCTTGAATTACGTCTTCTAAAACTATTACCCTTTGCTCTTGTTCCTAGTGCCTTTGAAATTCAAATCAAGTCAGCTACCAAGTGAACAGAGTTCAATTTTAAAAACTTGTTAGGACAGGGCACTGGTGGCTCACATTTGTAATCCTTGCTACTCAGGAGGCTTAGATTTGAGGATCGAGATTCAAAGTCAGCCTCAGCAGGAAAGTCCTTGAGTCTCTTATCGCCAATAAACCACCAGAAAACCAGAAGTGGCACTGTGGCTCAAGTGGCAGAGCGCTTGCCTTGAGTTGAAGAGCTCAGAGACAACACCCAGACCGAGAGTTCACGCCCCACAACCAACCAAAAAAAAAAAGTGTATTATGCATGACATATAACTGTAACCCCTGTGTACATCACCTTTATAATAGTGATTGAAGAATTTTTTTAAAAAATGTTAAGCCAGGTGTGGTAGTGCATACCTATAATCCCAGCACTTGGTAAACTGAGGTAGGTAGATTCTCAGTCAGAGGCCAGCCAGGGCTACATGCTAACCTGGGCAAAATAATGACAGCCTGTTTCAAAATAACAAAATTTAAAGGAAAAAGAAAAAGCTTTTAACTATATTTTCCAAGGTTGATTCAATGATGAGTAAACTGGTTTGAGATCAAAATAAATCAAAATTTTGCTGTGGTCATTTCACAGTCATGAGCAATATTCTACCACTATAATTAATTATGCTATCAATCATAACTTTATATAATACTTTGGCATTGGTAGGTTTTTTATTTTGTTTATTTAGGTAGGTTTTATTTGAGGTAGGGAGGATCCACAGGTTTAAACTCAGGGCCCCATATTTGCTCAACTTGCTTGCCTGCCTGGTACTCTAGTACTTAAGCTATGCTTCCAGCCAGCATGGGTGGTTATTTTACTGATTCTTTTTGGAGATGGACTCTTATGTACTTCTGCACCCACGCTAGCTTTGAACTGTAATCCTCTAGATCTCAGCCTCCCCAATAACTAGGATTACAATGTGACCCACTGGTGCCAGGATTATTTTGCTGTTTTGAAGCCCTTCCAAAAGCATTTGAAAGCAAAGTAATACAGCTGATTCAAAATCCTGATGGCTAAAGAAGCCAAGATAGAAAAAAAAAAATTTGTTGTACAGTTAGATCCTACTGTGTGCCTTATCAAGAAAAAAATAAGCTGGGCTCCAGTGCAGCAGCTCATGCCTATAATCCTAGCCTATTCAGGAGGCTGACGATCATGGTTTGAAGCCAGCCTGGGCAGAAAAGTCTGTGAGATTCCTATCTCCAATAAACTACTCAGAAAAAGCTCAAGTGGCAGACTACTAGCCTTGAGCAAAAGAGGCTTAAGGATAGCACCTAGGCCCAGAGTTCAAGCCCCAGGATTGGCAAAAAAGAAGCAGGGGAGGGAGAGAAAGAAAAAAAAATATATGCCAGGCACTAGTGGTTGCAATCCTAGCTACTCAGGAGGCAGAGACCTGAAGATCATGATTCAAAGCCAGGTCAGGCAAGAAAGTCTAGGAGACTCTTATCTCCAATTAACCACCAGTATGCTGGAAGTAGAGCTGTGGCTCAAATGGTAAATGGCTAGTCTCGACAGCGCCCAAGTCTGGAGTTCAACTCTAGGACTGAAACAAAGACAGTAAGATAAAATAAATATGTACGAGCTACTTGTCTTTTCCTCTCTCTCCCCAAGAAAGTATTTTTTAAATACCATATAGGCCTATCATAGTGGCCAAGGCCTTTAATCCTAGCTATAACAGAGGCATAGTTACTTAAGAAGATCATGATTTATGCCAGCCCTGGGCAAAAACACAGAACCTATCTGAAAAGTAACTAAAGCAAAAAAAGATGGGGATGTGGTTCAAGTGGTAAAGGGCCAGCATAGAAAACCCAAAGCCCAGAGTGCCACAAAAAATAAACCCTTACAAAAAATAAACCGTAAGTCCTTAGTATAATGTACTTTTAGTCATGTACATGTACTTAGCTGCTCTAATGTGCCCCATTCTTATTAAATTTTAGGTGAAATTTGTAAGACAGAATTCTCTGACCTCCAGGTATGGCTCCAATTGAGGAAACATATAAACAGATAACTACTCTAAAGCTGAAGACACACATTAGACTATGGGCAATGAGTACCTGTACATGGGCATTCAAGAGTTTCACAGATGAGGCCATCCAACTGGTAGTTTGTGAGACAGGCAAAAGAGAACATTCCAGGTAGGACCTCCTATGCAAACAAACCCAGAGGAGGAACTGCCCCCAAGAAAGTATGGCTGGAACACAGCATGTCAAAATGAGGAGGAAGAAGGGTGTTAAGCAGAGCAGCAGCAAACAGACTGATTTATCTCAAGATGGAAATGGCAGCAGTGACTGAGGACAAAGAAGACCAGCAGAGGGCAGTTACCAGGGGCCCAGCTGGGGATGACAGGAGTTTAAACTGGGGCAGCAGCAGATAGGTGGAAGAGGAGGGAGCATTTAAAGCAGACAGAAAAAACTTCATGAAATTAGGTATCTATTTTCACCTACAGAACAGAAATTTCATATGTCTCCAACAACCATGGGAGGAAGAAATGACATGAGTGGTTGGGGTGGAGCTGGGGGAAGAGGAGTCTTGATGGCTTCTGGCTGTGCTTTGGTCTGGATCACTAGGCAGGCAGTGCTACTGCCACCTACCACAAGGAAAATGGACAGCTGCAGTCCGAGCCTGGGGAGGTCATGCTGATTTCCTAGGGACAGTCCACTGGGAACCCAGTGTGTTAAATCTGAAGCTATGGGTAGGGCAGGAGACAGATGAAGACTCTAAAGTCCCAAAATTCCAGAGATGCAAAACCAGACTGTGCCCCAACACAAGGCAGCTTAGGGGGGTTGAAGTGATACCAGTCTCTTCCACTCACTCTAGCAATGCAGGGGCAGAGGCTAGCCATTACATTTGGGCAGGGCTAACGTTGCTGGCAGGAGAAGGCCTGGCAATGACTAGAGAGTCTAGTCTATGCAAGGGGGAAGCATGATGATCAACAAATTAAGGCAAACAAAGGGCTGGGCCTTTGTACAAGGTCAAACCAACTTCAGGGGGAGTAAAAAAACAGAGAGCTAGCCTGCTAAGGAGTTAAGACTCTAAGGCAGAACTTTTCAAGAAGTTCAGGGTGAGACAAAAGATAAGTCACAGAAACCAAGTAGAAGTGATAAAACGTGTGACCATCAGGGAGGTGACCAACGACAGATCTGAAACCAAGGCAAAACCAGTAGGGACCTAAGTAACACATGAAGCCAGGGTGAAGCAACAAAATGTAAGCCACAAGGAGAGAAAAAGGCAAGAAAGTCACCTATCTTCATAACTAAACATGGACTTTACTCTCCTCAGATACAGGTCAGCCAGAAACTGTCTGCCAGGAGGCTTAATCTGATCCAATTTGCAAAAGTTCTACCAGCTTCTAATAAATAAGTAAACTCACTCCACTTAGTTCTACCATTATGACTTCTCATAGGTGTCACTGCCTGAAAAGCCATGCCTGTGCGTTTTTCAGATGTTTCCTGGTATTTCCAGTCCAGTGGACGCTAAGAGAGGTGGTGCTTTCTGGAGCCTAGGAGCTCTTACTGCTGTTTGTGGTCCCTTGCCTCTGTCCTAAGAGTTGGGCCAGCCATGCTGGCTGCTCCCTCACCAATCCATCTAGTTGCTTCCCTAACCTTTGCAAAGCTGCCAAATCTTCGCCTAGCAGCTAATGTGATTCTTTGTACACTTCTGGAGAAACTCATCTTCACTTGCAGTTCTAGCTCACTGAACTGATCCTCTGAAGCCCAAATGAATTTATGGTGGAGGAAAGGCACAAATTAATCAGTCATCTGACCCAATCAGACTTTATTTTTTTCTGGTGCTGCTTTCTGCATGTTAGGCAAAGGGCTCCATTACTGAGTCATACTCCCAGCTTGAACTTCTGGTTTTCTGGTGGTTTATTGGAGATAAACTTTCTTATCTGGACTGGCTTTGAACTGGGATCCTCAGATCTCAACCTCCTGAGTAGCTAGGATTACATGTGCCTGGCTCCATTCAAACATTTTAAGAAGCAAATGGAGACACAAGAAAGGGGAAAGTGAAAAGCTTCTCTCTCTGAATTGTGTTCTAACAAAAGACACAGAACAGCAACCCAGCCTCTACTTCTCTGCACAGGCTTTTATATACATGTATGCATTTTGCCATACAATGCCAGTTTTTCAATTGCCCAATATTTTCAAACTTCTGGGGGTATTCTGCAAATAGATTTTGAATTATTTCTAAAATGAAGCCAAGTATGGCACACGTCTATAATTCTAGCATTCCGAAGAGCAGCCTGGGCTACACAGTGAGATACTATCTCAAGCACACACAGATGAAGGAAGTTTGGGAACAATGTTTTCCAATCTTCTACTTCAAAATGCCACTTTCATCTTCACTGCTTCCGAGACCAATCGCTCATTCATCATGCTAAAAACTGTCAAGTAAGCTGGGTGTAGTAGCTAACACCTGAATCTTAGTTTCTTGGGTGGCAGAGATCAGCAGTTCAAGGCCAACCAAGGCCTAAGAGTATGTGAGAATCATCCCATTCAATGGCTGAACAGAGTGGCCCAAGCCTGTCATTCCAGCTACCAGGAAAGCACAAAGGCTGGGTGCATGCACCTGTCATCTCCAGTAATACAGAAAATACAAGGAGGAGGATCAAAGCCCCATGTGGGGCATAAAATGAGACCCTATCTTAAAAATAACCAAGATAAAAAGGGCTTTGAAAGCATGGCTTACACATGCCTCACTTAGTATTTACAAGGCCCTGAATCCTAAATTCCATGCCCAGTACTGCCAAAAAAAAAAAAAAAAATATCAAGTACTGTCTAATTTAGTTGATTTGTGTAAAGCACTTGCAATATACAGCATATAGAAATTATTTTAAAATGTTAGCTATTAGCCCACCAACAAATATGCATTAGTGGTTAGAGGCCTTTCCTGAATAACATATGCCTTAGAAACATGCCTATCCAAGCTCTTCATGGTGCTAGCTGTGAAGGTGGCTCCATTCTCTACAACATTTGAACAGCTACATTTCTGAGTCAATGAGTCCAGATGTATTTTGAACTGAGAAATAGATATTTGTACTGAATGAGGCAGGGTTGGGGACTCTAAGAAGCTCATTCAGAAGACAGATATTACCTGTTCTCATTGGCATTTCTGCCTTTAAATTACTAAGGTGATTAGCAAGGGGTCTAAATTTCTGAATTAATATTTTACAGTCCTACTTTCAAAGGAGGATTTAATATTGTGAAATTACAGCCTCATCTGTGAAATACTACCTTATTTTTGTATACTCTCTCAAACTTAAGCTAACTTCATAACATAAAGAAGGAAAGTTCTATGCTCACTCTACAAAGGAAATGAGGCCCAGAGAAGTTAAAAGACTTACCCCAGGTCACACAGCAAGCTGGTAGCAGAACGCAATAGAACTCAGATCCCTGGGTCCAGGACTCTTTCCATTATACTAAGCTACCTCCCATATGACACAATGAAACTGGAAAAGAAAATATTTCATGGGCCTGACCTGACTAATTCTACTACTTTTCTAGCTCCTAATACCTTTCTTTCACAGGGTTGTCTCCTCCAGGTATTTTACATACAAAAGCATTCTTTTGGTATACATATACTATACTAGTATTTTCTCAAAGAACATCTTATGTGACAAAGGCAAAATACAAGGGAAGATGACACAGAACAGGGTTAAATACAAGATCTGAAGTTAAAGATCTGAGCCTGAGTGAGGTGCCAATGGTTTACACCCATAATCCTAGCTAATCAGAAGATTGAGGATCTGAGGAGCATGGTATGGTTCAAAGCCAGAATAGGAAGAAAACTCCATGAGACTCTCATCTCCCATTATCCAGTAAAAAGCTGAAAACAGAGATGGCTCAAGTGGTAGAGCACTAGCCTCAAGCAAAAAAGCAAAGGGACAGTGCTTAGGCTTTGAGTTCAAACCCTGGTACCAGCACAAAAAAAAGACCTGAGCTTGCTAACTTTGCCACTGGATACCACATAAGAATCTGACTTCCTCACGTATGAGTGAAAAGGTAACAACCTAAATTGCTTCATGAATTGCTGTAAATATCAAACTGCATAATCTATGGTAAATCCATAAATTGAACAACTGTTTCACAAAAATGGCGGTGTTGCTATTTTTAAGAAATGTATAAATTCGGCAAAGTCAATACTCAAAGCAATGATGAATATCTGAAGATCAACTGGAGATTATCTGCAGCTACCTAGTGAAAGTTCTTCCAAGACAAAATGAGGAATTAGTGACACAGTGGGGATGCAGGACACAGGAAGGGAAGACTTCTCAGAAGGTAGCATGATACAGCAAAAAACAGTGCCATACTACAGACTAGGGTTCCAGTTCTAAGGCTGTCACAATGACTCTGGGCAAACAATTCTTCCTCACTGACCACAATCTTCTGTCTATAAACATGCCAAGTCTGTGTCAAGTCTCTTCCACATCTAAAATTATGATTATTGAATTTATCTTACAGCATAAAAATGGTACTCTAAAATTATAGGTTTGGCACAAAGGAAAGACAGCAAAATCATTTCCTGACCCAACGTCCAAAACTGTAAAGAAAAATGATAGGAATTCCTCTTTTTCTTTCTGGTAGTACTGGGGATCAAATCCAGAGCCTTGTGCATTCTAGGCAAATGTTTATCACTACATCCATGGCCCAGAAACAAATGGTTTTACAAAAACTACTACTTACTTGCTAGATCTTGGAACAACCATTTCAGCTAATGTTTCATACTGCTTAATCCAGTCATTGTGGTTTAACCTGCAGAGAAGGAACAGTAAGCACAATTACTATTTCTAGCCCCATCCAGGAAGAGAAAAAAATACAGGACAAATAAGAAATTTAGACAGAGTAAAATACACCCCATATATGGAGTAAAAACTTCAAACTTTCTAATGAGAATAAATTTCAAAAACAGAGTAAGATAGGAAGTACAAATCACCACTCGTATGGCCATTGTCTCAAAAGAGACAAATCCTAGAATTGAAATGGAAAGGAAACAAAACTCAGTATACATTTTATACTTTCTATTCTATGGCTGATAAGTATTACACCTCATTTACCAAAACTGAACCACTACAACCTGTTCACAGGACACTGGTTTCTGGAGGTGTGGCGAGATAACTATGTTTGGGATGCAAAATAAGGTGTGTTTGAGTGTAAAAACAAAGACTCATATATAGTCTTTGTAGACCATAATAAAGAATAATTTATTATGTAAGGTAAGCTACATAAGTCGATTACAAGATACAGAAATGTTCTGGTTTTAAACAAAATTGAATTAGACAAAAATATGGACAAATATTATTTTCTGACAAGATATTAAAGCACAGGTATGCAGAAATTCCTCATTAATAACCAATGCTTCAATACAGCAGGGAAGAGTTTTATATCTAAAATATAAAACTAAACTTTCAGAGTCATACCCTGAGTTTCAAGTCTTTCTCTATGTGCAAAGAAAAATAGAAAAGCTACGGGCTGGGATGTTGGCTCAGTGGTAGAGCGCTTGCCTTGCATGTATGAGGCCCTGGGTTCGATTCCTCAGCACCACATAAGCAGAAAAAAAAATGCCAGAAGTGGCACTGTGGCTCAAGTGGTAGAGTGCTAGCCTTGAGCTGAAGAGCTGAGGGACAGCGCCCAGGCCCAGATTTCAGGCCCCACGACCAGACCAAAAAAAAAAAAAAAATAGAAAAGCCTGCATACTACAACAAATCAGATAATATTACAGCCATTGGGAATTCCACGGAGGGAGGTACATTCCCTCCCTTCTCTAGGAACCACTGTTTTCGAGTATTCTCAATCTAACTAGATAAACATGCAGAGCAAGGTAAGGAAAGCTCCATGCAATATCACTCTGAAAAGATTCCAAGTTTCTCATCTCAGCTGGGATTCCCCAAGGATTCCAATACCAAGACTTCAGTGTAAGAAGTGAAATCATTAACAGTGCTACACATAATTCTGATCTTCCTCCTATTAGCCAAAGATTTCATTTTACCACTAGCTATGATTAAGTAGTAATTAATATGGAAAGCCTATTCAAAATGAGATTTAAAAGAGTTATCTAATCCAGGGGTCAGCAAATTATTCCCATAATAGAACCTGTTTGGCAAATAGTTTTACTGAAACAAAGCCATATCTTCTTGCTTGTCTGGGCTGCTTCAGCTCTAACAACAATTTGACATAATACAGTTGAGTAGTTGTGATAGAGTTCAGATAGCTAGCAAAACCTAAACTACTATCTGGCCTTTTTTTTTTGGGGGGGGGGAGGAAGATAAGTGTCCCTAATCCAATCTATTCTTTGTTTCTTACAGGGCTTAAATCCATCTAACTAGTCAGAAAGGTTTTTTTAGAAAAGCAAATCTCAAGGACTTTTCTATTTCAAGAAATCCAAAACCTGACTCTAAGAAAATACAATAGTAACTTAGTATTTATTTATTTTTGGTCAGTTGTGGGCCTTGAACTGTCTTGAGCGCTGTCCCTCAGCTCTTCAGCTCAAGGCTAGCACTCTACCACTTGAGCTACAGTACCACTTCCAGTATTTAATTTTTTAATGAGTCAACTCTACCAATCTCAATTTAAAACCAGTGTCTCTATTACCAGATTATGAACTAAATTCTATTGTGTGTGCCACATGAGTTAATGTTGGTTGACAGATAAATGACAAGGTTATACTCTCTACTTCAGTTTTATAGTAAAACAGACACTAACATTTTTCTTCTATTTTAACAAATAAATCTTTTTTAATAGAAAGACATACTTGGGAACTACTACCAGTAATGTGACAAGATACTCTGAATCAAGAACAAAGTCATCCTTCTTCACAATTTCTGCCAGACTTCGCGTTAGCAAACTTCCTCTGAAAAGTAAGAAAAAAAATAATTTGGTGAATAGTTATGCTTTTCTATAACACAAGTCTTCACTTGTGTTAGACTAATCCTATTTATGCATGCTACATATATATCAAGGCAATGGTTAGCCTTGGTTAACACTTTGCCAAATATATTCCATCTCTGTAACCACAGAGATGTCAACATTTATCAAGATCCAGTGTCTACCTTTGTGTTTGCTTTATTATAACTCAGTTTTCCTGATTACATGTAGTATTGACTAGGAAAGTGCTATTTATTAGATCAAAGTCTATTTCAATGTATTATGTCATCTAAGCATAACCTTTTAGTTTTCTTCCCTTTCTCTGGCTATCATTTGATTCTAGGCAATTTTCCATTATTTAACCTAGTAATCAGCTCTTTCAAACCAGTCTTCATTTGGTCCTCCAGTAATGATATGCCCCTAGTAAAAATGACTTGTTCTGTTTGTATACTAATAATCTGCAATCAAGTTCCCCTCTAGGCTATGCAAATACAAGTTGAATAGGTATATACTTCAAACATTGCTAATAGTCATACAAGGAGATCAGCTTAAACAAGGGTGTCCTATTTTAATAAAACCTAATGTGAAAAACCTAGACCTGGAAAACAGAAAGAATAATTTTATATCATAAAAGGATATTTTTATAGAATTCTTAGCAGCAGGTAATTGTTGTATAATTAATATTCTGACTGAATCTAAAATTATTAACTTTCAAGAGGAGGGGTCTAGAAGAGGGGTGAGAGATGAATGAGAGAGGAAGGACGGGCAAATGAAATCCTAAGAGTCAATGTATATGTGTGAAAATGGAACTTGGAAATGTATGGGGATGAATGAGGTTGAGATGGGGGGGGGATTATGAAAGGGGTGACACTCATCAAGATGCATTGTGCTCAGAGACTGACATGTTGAAATCAAACTACTTTGTAAACTACTTAATAATAATAAAAAATAAAAATAAAATAAATAATTTTATAAGTTTTCAGAAAAATATCAAATATAGAAAATGGTAAGCCAGAACTCAGTTCACAATTACTTAAGAAACAAGAACAATAAATCAATCTCAAAATGTTTTGATTTATCTGAATTCTATAAACTTATATTAGTAAACTTCCTTTATGAAATAAAATCTTCATTTTGGTTATGGAAACAGCATAATTTGGAACTTACTAAACACCAACACGACTTCATCCAGTACATGTTATTGTATACTTTGTTATACTTAATAGTCATATATACTTGAGATGCTTACGCATTCTTTCGCTCCAAATTCTGAAGATTCCCTTTCAGGTTATTGTATGCAGATGCTCGAGACTTCAGGTCATTATCAATCTGAGTTACTCCCTTCAGAAAAGAAAAAGAAAAACAGGTCTAAGTCTGCTTCTATTAACACAATTAAAATAGATACTAAACTTTAATTTGCACAAAAAATGCCAATACTTCCTGATGTGAGAATTTTCTGCAATTGGTACAGAAGATCAATATAACAATAAGAGAAGAATCAGAAACACATGTAGTGTCTACACAAGTACTGTATACATATATACCTAAGTAACAGTTATCTCTTTGGATAGCTAATAAATCTTTACTAGATTCTAATTTCCTGTCCTATAAAATCTAACTTAACCTTAAAATTTACATAAATAATAATAGAATTTGAAAATCTCTTCTTGAAAAATTGTTGATCTAAGCCAGGTGTCAGGGGCTCACACCTCTAATCCTGGCTTGAGACCAAAGGGTCATGGTTTAAAGCCAGCTGGAGCAGGAAAGCTCTTGGGACTCTTATCTCCAGTTTACTACCCAAAAAAGTTGGAAGTAGAGCTATGGCTCAAAGAGTAGAGATCTAGTCTTGAGCAAAAAAGCTCAAGAGAAGTACCCAGGCCATGAGTTCAATCCTCAGGACTGACACAAAAACAAAAAAGCTTGATGTAATATTGAAATTAGCCATGTAAGCAAGCAAACCATACAATTTTGATCATCTATACATGAAAGTGCTATACTTTATAACATTTTTCCCTATCTAAAGTTACAGTCGAGATACTTCTGATTTCTATCTGTGACACATACTTAAGCTGCTTGTCAAAAACCTAAAAAGTACCAGATGCTTGTGGCTCATATCTGTAATCCCTAGGGGTGAGATATGAGGATGGTGGTTGGAATCCAATCTGGGCAGAAAAGTCAGTGAGACTTTTACCTCCAATTAACCACAAGAAAACCAGAAAAGCCAGGTGCCAGTGGCTCACACCTGTAATCCTAGCTACTCAGGAGGCTGAGATCTGAGGATTGCGGTTCAAAGCCAGCCTGGGCAGAAAAGTCTGTGAGACTCTTATCTCCAATAAACCACTAGAAAACCAGAAGTGGCACTATGGCTTAAGTGGTAGAGTGCTCACCTTGGGCTGAAGAGCCCAGGGACAGCGCCCAGGCCCACAGTTCAAGCCCCATGACCGACAAAATAAAATAAAATAAAGCCAGTATAAATTAATGTGTCCCATCCATCTCAATTTTTGTCTTACCTTGCCAATTATTTCAGAAATATTTTTAAGAGATTGCTTGATTGGATATTTGGCCATATCCCACTGGAATCTTGTTATGTAAGTAACCAAGTCAACTGAAGTAAGGAAATAAATTAATTATTGAATAGAAGCAATAGCATTGTTAAGAGTTATTTTTTCTAGCAGAGTAATACACTTTAATGTTCAAATTGGTAATGAAAAATATTAGTAAAGATATCAGTTCTCAAGATTGTTAGGGAAGTTACATTAAATAACATGGATTTATCAAAATTTTTAATCTTTTTTTTTGGGTCCAGTAGTGGGGCCTGAACTCTGGGCCTGGGCACTGTCCCTCAGCTCTTCAGCTCAAGGCTAGCGTCTACCACTTTAGCCACAGCGCCACTTCTGGCTTTTTTCTTTTTGCTTATGTGGTGCTGAGGAATCGAACCCCAGGGCCTCATGCGTGCAAGGCAAGCATTCTACCACTAAGCCACATTCCCAGCCCCCAAAATTTTAATCTTATAATCTCTTCTCAACTCAAAATTTTATGTAGACAATGTTCCTTCTGGTTTGATGATTGAATAAATAGAATATGTTCACATCTATGATAAGCCTCATATGAAGGACAAAAATATAAATATTAAGAAATTACTTCAAAGTGTCTTTTCCATATATTTAATTTGTTCTTTCCTTGACAACTTTACCTGTAATCCCACAACTCAGGAGGCTGAGGCAAGAAGATCAAAAGTATGAAGTCTCTAAGCTATACAGTGAATGAAAAGTCAACCTATACAATTTTGATAATCTATACGTGAAAATGCTATGCTTTGTAACATTTTTCACATTTAAAGATATAGTAAAGATTACTTCTGCTTTCTATCTGTGACATATACATAGCTGCTATATAGTGAGACCTTGTCTCAAAATACCAAGGGTTGGCTGGGTGCCGGTGGCTCACACCTGGATTCTAGAACATCTGAGGATCCCAGTTTGAAGCCAGCCCAGGCAGGAAAGACCCTGAGACTCTTATTTCCAATTAATCACAGAAAAAGCCAGAAGTGGCACTGTGGCTCAAATGGTAAAGTGCTAGCTTTGAGCAGAAAGGAGCTCAGAGACTGTGCCCAGGTCCAGAGTTCAAGCTGAGGACTTAACCAAAAAAAAAAGAAAGAAAGAAAGAAAAAAGACCTAATTTAAAATGAAGCAAATGCTAAAGTGATATTTCAGAAGAAAAGAAATCTAAGTAAAACTCACAATGAGGTCAAAGTCATCTTTATAAAGCTATTAATACATGGATCAAATTCTAGTAACTATTAGCTTCTAGCCGAAGAAACAGAAATGTCAGAAGTCTATTTTTATAAGTATTAAGAAAAGCCATTATTTGAGTTTGAGGGGAAAGAACCATAACTCTGAAATAAAATCAGTAATTTAATTCTAAGACTTTAGCAGTCAGATGCTGTTAAACAGAAAAGCTAGAGATGATAGCTGATATATATATATGGATTAATGCTCAGATATGCAACTTAGAAACTTACATAAAAGTTAGCAAACAGAATCTAGACAGAGGTAAAGCCCTAATACTGCTCTTATGGAAGACCTGACTTCATCTCATAAGCAACATTAAACATAATGTAAGGGATGGGAAGGTAGCTCAGTGGTAGAGTACTTGCCTTGTAGGCATGAGGCCTTGGGTTCGATTCCTCAGCACCTCATAACCAGAAAAAGCCGGAAGTGGCACTGTGGCTCAAGTGGTAGAGCACTAGCCTTGAGCTGAAGAGCTGAGGGCCAGCGCCCAGGCCCAGAGTTCAAGCCCCACGACCGACCAAAAAAAAAAAAAAACCCACAAAAACCATAATGTAAGATTATCTTATGTGAAATTATGTTTTAGGGGCGGACTGGGAATGTTATAGTATCACCAAACTCAATAATATCAATAACTATTAATGGCTTTCTGTTGTATTTAACAAAATCTTTACATACAGATTATTTTCACATCTTTTATTCTTATAGCTAAGTCATTTACTTTATACAAGTTAAAAATAATAAAATCATGAAACATTAGCTTACCTCCATTGGCCAACAGATTCTCCTGAACTTTATCTTTACTATCCTCTAATACATCAGCCATGTATTGAGCCACTTTCTTAACCACGCTGGGGAGCAAAAGAACAAATCATCATTTTCAAGAAAAAGACCTATATTCCATGTTATGCAATGAACATGGCACACAAACATAAATTTGAATATAGATACCTACATGCAGACACACATACTATATTTCCACACAAATATTATAAGTAGAAGACATGGGTCCTACCTTATATAACATGTTAAAGACAAAATGGACCAAAATTTTGTAATACACAAAAATCAAATGTCTAATGGTAGTTTTAAAAAATGCATAATGAATGTGTTTGTGACTTTAACTATCACTATCCCACAATAATGAAAAATTTATGTAACCAATCACAATTAAAAAATTGCTTTAAAAAAGATACATGTAATGTGTTTATTAGCCTAGAAAGGAAGGGGTAGGATGCTAAGGGGAAATGATCAGAATATTTCATGAAACAGTTTGTATATTACATACCAAGAAACTGGCTAATGGATCTGATTGCAAGGGTCAAGGACAGAGGAGGAGGTAGGGAGCTAGCTTTTGCAGCAGAACCATGCCTTCACTTAGGATAGATGGGAATCAGACCAGCAACAGACATCAGCAATTGTCATCAAGATCACAGTCCTACATTATTTATTCAATTTATTCATGAGTAACTACAGAAGCTATGCTATAGAAGAAAGCTCAGTGCAGAAATTACCTGGGTCTGACCTTGTCAATCCTTTCACTTTATAAGATACTAATATAAAGAGGATTCGTGACTTATCCAATGTCACAACAATTAAAGGCAGACCTCTGAGAAGAAACATGGTATCCTGACTCTGGAGTTCAGTGCCATTTTCCCCATTCCATGCCTGCCTGTAGGCCTGGTGGAATTCAAAATTATACAAAACAAAATCACTATCTTCACATTGCTTGCAGTCTAACTGGAGAGGTACCAAAATACACAAATGAGTAACTAAAAAGAAATCTGAGGTAAGTGCCAGTTGAGACTATCAGGTTACAAAGAAGCACACAGAGAAAAGCAATCATTTCCTGCTGCTACAATCAAGAAAACTTAGTATAGCAGTTGAGGAGCAAGGGCAAGGAAGGATGGCAAGAGTTTATTTTTCCCATACAATCATGGGAAGAAAGTACACTCTTGCCAAAAAGCATCATCTGAGTCAAGATAAGGAGATACAGAAATGCCTGGGCATTCAGAAGATGGAGGAGGTTGGGACTCTGTTAGAAACTGTGCAAGGCTGACTGCACATAGCTAGCTAGCCTCTACGTTAACTCTAGACAAAAATGCAGGATGGAAAACATGCTATAGGAATAATATGTTCAATGACTCAAAGGGAAAAAAAACAGAAAACTTGTAAAAGTATAAACCGAATCAGAAAGGGCCAGAAAATGTTAGAAGGAGCAAACTTAAATGACTGTCTTAGGTTGAGTGATTCCAAATGAAGACAGTAGAATAATGTAAGAACCAATGACATAAACCCCAAGTCTTAAATACATTTAACCTGAGATTTGTAGCCACACAATCTCCCTATGCATTGCTCTAAAAATATTAATGTCATATCACCTCAAAAATCTGCTCTAATGCTTAAAGTGTTTAGAAACTATACACTAGGGCTGGGATGTAGCTCAGTGGCAAAGCGCTTGCCTAGCAAGTGCAACGTCCTGGGTTCGATCCCCCAGTACCAAAAAAGAAAAGACAAAAAAAAATACAGTTAAAAAAAGAAACTATAGGGGGCTGGGAAGGTGGCTCAGTGGTAGAGCACTTGCCTTGCATGCCTGAGGCCCTGGGTTCGATTCCCCAGCACCACATAAGCAAAAAGAAAAAAGAAGCCGGAAGTGGCGCTGTGGCTCAAGTGGTAGAGCGCTAGCCTTGAGCTGAAGAGCTGAGGGACAGCGCCCAGGCCCAGAGTTCAGGCCCCACGACCGGACCCCCCCCCCAAAAAAAAACAACAAAATAAAAAAACAAAAAAGAAAAAAGAAAAAAAAGAAACTATATACTATGATTTACTCTACATACCACTTGATCAGTCTTTAAAAGATGAAACATTTAAATCACTAAGCTACCATCTGTCAATTCTACCCAGGTCTAACCACAGATTTTCAAGTTTCCCATCTCAGGTAGAATAAAGACAAGCTTATAGAGCAACACAGATAAGCCAACAAACTGCACAGGTAACTCTCTCTATTCACCATGCTCTCTACATTTGCCCTAAATACTTTTCAGATTCCTCTCTAAAACCCCTTAGCTAACGTAAACTATACTCAGAACATCCCACTGAAAAGTTGAAGACCAGCAGACAGCCAACAGGATGATTAACAAAGGCCATATATAATGCTGATAATTACATTCTCAGGACCTTCCTTTCTGGTTGTTTTTTTTTTTTTTTTTGGTCGGTTGCGGGGCTTGAACTCTGGGCCTGAGCTCAAGGCAAGTGCTCTGCCACTTGAGCCACAGCGCCACTTTCAGTTTTCTGGTGGTTTATTGGAGATAAGAGTTTCATAGTTTTCCTGCCCAGGCTGGCTTTGAACCACGATCCTCAGATCTCAGCCTCCTGAGTAGCTAGGATTACAGGTGTGAGCCACCAGTGCCTGGCTGGAACTTCCTTTCTTAAGTGTCTCTTTGGTTGTCATGACCTGAAACTATGAAGAATGACACAGAAGGGATCTCAGAGAGGATAATCACCTCAGGACTGGTAACTAAAAGCCAGTAACCAAAAGCCTATAATCATGTTGCAGTTGTAACTCAATGGTAGAGCACATACTTATTAGCAGGCTCAAAGTCCTGGGTTCGATCCCCAGGAGTAAATAAACCTTAAAACTTATAATAAAAAAAAAAACGAGACTACTTTTTCCATCAATTAGTCTTTGAGTATATCTTGAATACATTTCACTATATTTACAATAATTCATAATTATTTGCTCCAATTGAATACACAGAATTATAACCCTAAAAAGTAATTTGTTCTATTTCCTTCATTCTTTCTTTTCCATTCTATTTGGCCAAATACCTAGACTTATTTGAAGGTTTCAATATCAGTTGACTACTAAAACTGTCTCCTACAAGGCTACTCACCTCCATTATTAAAGACCATCAATGTAACATTTTAAGTCTGTTTGCTTTTTCACTCCATGTTATTTTGAAAGATCTCTCTCTGCAATCCTGATCTCAGCTGCCTCTGCCAGATCAGTTGCTTTGTGGTAGCTCTATAAATTCAGATGTGTTTAACAACATACACAGGCATGTTTCCAGAAAACATTCCCCTGTAATCAAGGCTATTGTTTTTAAACTTTAAGCAAACTTCAAGTAATTTCTAAATCCTCCAAAATTCTGCATTTTATAAACCACACTTATTTACCTAGGTCATACTTTAAAGCTCTGTATTCCAAAAATCAATGAGATACTAAACTGATTCCACCAATGTATCAAACTTCAGAATTTTATGCCTATACACAGCACAATAAAAGTGACAGAACCCGTAGTTTAAAAAAACTTTGCTGGGCTGGGAAGGTGGCTCAGTGGTAGAGCCCTTGCCTTGCATGCATGAGGCCCTGGGTTCGATTCCTCAGCACCACATAAGCAAAAAGAAAAAAGCCGGAAGTGGCGCTGTGGCTGAAGTGGTAGAGCGCTAGCCTTGAGCTGAAGAGCTGAGGGACAGCGCCCAGGCCCAGAGTTCTGGCCCATGACCGGACCAAAAAAAAAAATTTGCTAACTGAATTTTCAAGACAAAACCATCACATCTTCAAACAAATGGAATGAAGACAATACTGTTAGATTGGCAATGCTTCTTTGTTGATCCACAGACTGAACATAATCCTCATAAAATTCACATACTGTGATCCTAAAATTCACACGGCAATGCAAGGACTCCACAGTGGCCAAGTAAACAGTGAAGAAACAATGAAGTTGGAGAACTCACACTCTGATTCTAAAACTTGCTAAAAAGCCACAATAACCAAGATAATGAAGCCGGCTGGTGGCTGATAACTGAAATCCTAGCTACTCAGACGGTAGAGATCTGGGGATCCTGGTTGAAAGCCAGCTCAGGCAGAAAAGTCTATGAGATTCTTATCTCCAATTAACCACCAGAAAACCAGAAGTGGAGTTGTGGCTCAAAGTGGTAGAGTGTTGGCCTTGAGTGAAAGAGCTCAGGGACATCCCCCAGGCCCTGAATTCAAGCCCCATGACCACCACCAACAACAACAAAAGAAAAATCAAGATAATATATAGGCAAAAATATAAAAATACAAATAAAACAGCTATAAGTATAAAAATAAACCATCACATTATGTTCAACTAATTTTCAGCAGGGGGGTCAAAACAATTCAGTGGCAAAATCACATCACATGGTGCTGGGACAACAAGATATCCAAAAGCAAAAGAATGAAGTTGGGCCAGATGTTGTGGCACACACCTATAATCCCAACATTCTGAAATAGAAATCAAATATACAATGGAATACTACCTCATTCACGTGAGCCTGGCTATAAAAAAAAAATAAAAAACAAAGAACAAAAAATACCAATAGTAACTAAGTGTTTTTAAGAAGTAGAAAAGTTAGAACACTTAAACATTAATGGTGAAAATATTAAGTAGTATAACCATTTGAAGAGCAGTGCTGCAATTCTTCAAAGCAACCAAATGATCTAGAAATTCCACTCCCAGACACATATTAAAGACAAAGAAAACCTTAGAAGCACCCCCCAAAAAAAAACCCATGTATACAATATTCATAGCAGCATTATTCATATTAGTCAAGGAGCAAAAATAAATAAATGTCCATCGACTGATTAATGGATTCATAAATGTGATAAATGTATGCAATGGATTATTACTTGGTAATAGTGAAATTTAACAGAATTTTATTTGGTTGTGTTAAAAAAAAATGAGTAAGGACAGATGCTAGTGGCTCATGCCTGTAATCCTAGCTATTCAGGAGGCTGAGATCTGAGGTTCACGGTTTAAAGCCAGCCCAGGCAGGAAAGTCCGTGAGACTCTTATCGCCAATTAACCACCAGAAAACTGGAAGTGGAGCTGTGGCTCAAGAGGTAGAGTGCTTGTCTTGAGCTGAAGAGCGCAGGGACAGCGTGCAAGCCCAGAGTTCAAGCCCTATGACTGACAAATACATACATACATACATACATACATAAAATATGAATAAGTGTGGTAGCACAGAACTGTAATCCTAGCATTTAGCATGTGGGAGGCTAAAGCAGGAGTAGGGAGGAAGGTTTAAAGCCAGCCTGGCTTACCTGGTAAGATCATGCCCAGGACAAAAAAAAAAGGGAAAAGAAATGAGATGTTGATATACAGCATGGGTAAAATTTGAAAATACTATGTGCTAAATAAAAGAACCAGTCAAATGAGACCATGTATTATCTCTACTTATATGAAAGCAGCAGCAGGATAGGGAAATCTGTAGTGTCAGAAAGTGGACAGTGGGTATTGGGGGATAAGTGTCTACTTATCAGAAACAATTTTTGAGGGGAAAATTGATAAAAATGTTCTAAAGCCATAGTTCCGTTTGCACATTGCTGTGAATATACTAAAAATAACAATAACTGAGCACCAGTGGCTCATATCTGTAATCCTAGCTACTCAGGAGGCTGACATCTGAGGATTGCAGTTCAAAGCCAGATGAGGCAGGAAAGGCCATGAGACTCTGATCTCAAGTTAAACAACAAAAAAGCTGAAAGTATAGCTACAGCTTAAGAGGTAGAGTGCTAACCCTGAGCGAAAAAGTTCAAAGACAGTGTTCAGGCCCTAAAATCCAGCCCCAGGACTAGCATCAAAAAAAGTATTAAAAAGAATACCACTATTTTCACACTTCAAACTGGTAGCTTTAAGTATATAAAAATTGTACCTTCACAAAACTGTCTTACAAAGAAAATAGTAATCATTTTCTAAAACCATTCCAATAAACAAAGTATACATTGATAATAAAACCAATGCTCAGGTGGCCTGATCATAGTGTCTCATTTTGCTCTACTCCATGCATGTAAGTAATTACCCTTCTACAAATGCATCCAGTTTAGCCAGTTCATCCGACAAGCCAACCAAAACATCCAGAGTGCCGACCTAGAAGGGAAATAGAGAATTTTATTAAACCTCCATCTCTCTTTCCTTCTTCCTATTTTTGAGACAGGGTCTAACTATGTAGCCCAGACTGGCTTTAACCTCAAGCTCTTCCTACCTCCACATCCTGTCATCATGTCTGATTCATTTTATTTTTTAAAAAAGATGATACATCTTCATTTGAAATGTTCACAAATCATTCTCCGCATTTTACTTCCTAAAGTAACAGTGTAGCAAAAGATGTTTGCTAAATATTTCAATCTTTAGATATATGAGGTAATTCTCTATTCATGGGTATAAGTACCACTAAGGACTTGTCTAGGGAGGTCTGTGTTTATAATGTCCAGTGATAATGGGTCATTTGAAATCCTGCTTTACAACATTGGTTCTTGAGCAGGTCTGTGGGTATATATCAGAGGATCTGTAGCTGAATTATATGCAAACAATTGTGTTTTGGAGAAAAATTCTGTCCCCAAAGAATTCACAATGCCAAACTATGCCAAAAATAAGTAATTTCAAGTATTCTTTAATTTTATATATGCTACATATGACTGTTTCAAAAATAGCAAATGGGGGCTGGGGGTTTAGCCCAGTGGAAGGGCGCCCGCCCGGCACGTGCAAGGCCCTGGGTTTGGTCCTCAGCCCTGGAAAAAAAAAAAAAGCTACAAAACTAGCAAATGTAAACACCACCATCTTTCCCATTCTTTAGAAAAGTATATCAACTGATTCCTGGAAACCTGTTAAGGACAGATTAGGAGCTGGAAGAATGGCTCAGTGGTAGAGTGCCTACCTTGCAAACATAGAGCCCTGAATTCAAATCCTGATATAGTCTGCCCCCAAAAGGCTACTTGATTACTAATCCTGTTAAAGAGATTAACTGGGTTAAATAATGTTAGATTTTTCAAGTATGCGTGAGTTGGTGCTATGATAACACATTTAAAGTATTAGCAAAATATTAATTTAATAACAAAAATTGGCACTGTGATATTTAAATATTTCTATCATTTTGACTTTTGAAAAATCCTATTTTGCAAGGGTATTTATTTTCATAAAGTTTCTCATTATAATTTAGAAAAGCACATAAAAGTTTAAGAAAGATTTTTCCTTTGGTAGTTTACTTGTAGCTTCTCATAGAACAAGAATACATTTTAAGGGGCTGGGAAGATGGCTCAGTGGTAAAGTGCTTGCCTTGAATGCATGAGGCCCTGGGTTCAATTCCTGAGCACCACATAAACAGCAAAAGCCAGAAGTGGCTCTGTGGCTCAAGTGGTAGAAGAGCTCAGGGACAGTGCCCAGGCCTAGAGTTCAAGATCTACAATCAACAACAACAACAAAAAAGAATACATTTCAAGTTATGCCAATGGTGAGAGCTGAGCAGCTTTTTCTCTAAAGGAACCTGGGATCTCACTTCTGCCAAAAGAGAACTGCCCCCTTCCTCCAATAAGGAACTCGTAGGCTTTTGCTCATTGCAGCTTCACCTTTAAATCAGGAATGTTGAACTTGGAAGTGACAGCAAGATTATTGTTCTTCGTAGTTGCAGCATGCAGTTTCTCCCATGTTTGCTGACAAGTTTTCTCCCCAGGAGCAGATATAAGCCAGAATTCAGTCATGTTTTCTACCACTTCTTAGGAAATGGAGAGAGGCTATAACGTGAAAGGAACAAAAAAACACATTTAATATAATTTGTTTCTAGTGTTTCAGAGTCTCAGACAAGTGCTAAAGTATAATCTCTTTAGTTTGGATCTAAAATGTCTCCTATAGACATTAGCAGAAATTGTTAAAGGCTGTGTCCCCAGCCTGTGGCTGAGAAATGGTAAAAGCTTTCTGAGATGGGACCTAGTGGGAGGAACTCAGAACACTGTCGATGTGCCCCTGAAGAGAGCATTAGGACCATGTCCCCTCCTCTCCGTTTCTTTTCTGTCCCCCACTCTTTTTTTTTGGTCTGGTTGTGGGGCCTGAATTCTGGGCCTGGGTGCTGTCCCTCAGCTCTTCAGCTCGAGGCTAGCGCTCTACCACTTGAGCCAAAGCGCCACTTCCGGCTTTTTCCTTTTTGCTTATGTGGTGCTGAGGAATCAAACCCAGGGCCTCATGCATGCAAGGCAAGCGCTCTACCACTGAGCCACCTTCCCAGCGCCCCCTCTTTTTTTTTTGCCAGCATCTCAAATATTGTCTATATTGGCCTCAAACTTCTGGACTCGCACTATCTTCCTACCTCAATCTCCCAAGAAGCTGGAAATACAGGCACACGCCACCATGCTAGCTTCTCTTTTTGTTCCCTACTACGATGAAATGAATAGGCCTCCTCTGACATACACTTTGCTCATGACGTGCTGCCACACCACTGGCCCAAAGCTGCTTCTCTATTAGCTCTTAGTGATGACAAGTTATATTTCTCAAGCCAAAGAGCTGTATTTTCCCAAATGGCTCACAGGCTAAACACAGACTTGATAGTTATGGCAAGCCCAAACAAAGTACTTAATCTGGCCAGTACAGCTTAAGTGGCCCACACAAGGATGGTGGCTGCTCCAGTCCAAAGTTCTAATGAAGTCTTTCAAAGAAAAACTGTGACATCAATATAAAGTGAAAAAGAAAGGGGTAAAATCTACAGCCTACAGGAAGTATTTCAAATGTTAAAATGTTCATCACTGGGGTATTTTAAATCATAACACCTATATTCATTTTTTTTGTTCAACCTACTTTTTACAATTATCCATAGTGATCCATGAAGATAGAATTCATCCATTTTAATTACTACATGGAATTCTGCTATATGAATGAACTAAAATTGAGTACCTTTTTGCCTTCTGAAAGTGTTAAGTTCTTTATTATAAACAATTCTGTAGTTAATAACTTTGTACATGTGTATGTGTCTGCTATTTTGAAAAAAGTTCAGGACAGACAAGAGTAAAACAGATGAACTGCATAATCTTGTGGTAGATTGTCTTCTTCAATGATGGAAGAAACAGGTCTTTACATGCTGCTATACAATCAGTGTGCCTTACCAATCTTTCAAGAGTCGGACTTCTGACTCACTTGACCAACAAAACACAGGGGAGCCACATTATGCAAGGTCAGCAGCCAGCTCTCAAGGACTTGGCAACTTCTAACTTCTGTTCCTTCAACTACTGCTCTCAGAGAACCATGGAAAGTAACCAAGCTAGTATACTGGAGGATAAGGGGTTCTCATGGCAGAAAACTGCCAACCACTGAGGGAGACCTGCCCAGCCAATCTCCCACCTAAATGCAGCCACATTAGTAGCCCTGAGTAGCTAGGATTACAGGAGTGAGCCACTAGGGCCGGGATGAAGTGATTTCTTCATCATAACTGAAATAAATCATTGCCAGTTCTCTTGGGTATTGTCAAATTGTTCACCACAGCTGTTATCAACTTCTAACCAGCAAGATAAAAGTGTCCATATCCACAACTTTAAAATATACATGGTGGGGCTGGGAAGGTGGCTCAGCGGTAGAGTGCATGCCTTGCAAGCATGAGGCCCTGGGTTCGATTCCTCAGCACCACATAAACAGAAAAAGCTGGAAGTGGTGCTGTGGCTCCAGTGGTAAAGCGCTAGCCTTGAGCTGAAGAGCTGAGGGACAGCACCCAGGCCCAGAGTTCAGGCCCCATGACCGGCAAAAAAAAAAATAATAATAATAAAAATAAAATAAAATATACATGGTGTACTCTATACAGAGTTATATACTTACAAAAGTTATAAAAATACACATAGAGAAGACTAAGATTTTTGCTTCTCTCTACAATTAAGCCACATACTGAATCTCTTATTTTGTTGTTTATTTGGAATAGGGGGTCTTACTTTATGCCAGACAGGGTTAGACTGAAATCCTCTTACTTGTGTTTCCTTACATTGCTGGGAGTAACAGGCACCAGCCACCACACTGAGCCATTGGTTGAGATAGTTTTCTTCTCTTCTTTTTGCCCAAGCTGACTTACAACTAAGAATCCTCATCTCTCATCTCTATCTCCCATGTAGCTAAGAGTACAAACTTGAGCCACCACACCCAGCTAAGGTTTTATTTTTTGACAGTGATTTTTTTGTTTCTGTTTTGTTTTGCTTTGTTTTCACAGTGCTAGGGTATTGAGCAAGTCCCCACACTAGGGGGATCAGAGTCGGTTCCTCAGGCACAGTAGGCAAGCACTATACAATGAGTCATATCCCCAGATTTTAAGAAAAATAGCTAGCGTAAAAAATGGTAAAATGTTCATGTGTGTTAAATCTGGGTAATAGGTGTATGGATGTTTGTTAATCTGTAATATCTATTATTTATCTGAAATAAATTGCATACATTAAAATGTAGTAATCCTAGTCACTCAAGGCTGAGATGTGAGGATCACCATTCAAAGCCAGCCCACACAGGAAAGTCCATGAGACTGTTATCTCAAATTAACCACCTAAAAAAGAGGCTGGATATGGAGTTCTTATTCAAGAGGTAGAGTGATAGCCTTGAGCAAAAACAACACAGGGACTATACCCAAGCCCTGAGTTCAAGCCCCCGAACCAGCACAAAATGAATAATAATGATGACGATATTAATACAGATAATGTAAAATTTCTTAGTAATTTATTTAAAAAGTAAAATTTTAGTGAACTTTCAAATGGTGTATTTGGAGAACAGAATAATCTAACTTTGAAATTAACTTTTCTGAGCTGGGAATGTGGCTTAGTAGTATAGTGCTTGAGTAGCATTCATGAAGTCCTGGGTTTGATTCTTCAGTACCACATAAACAGAAAAAGCCAGAAGTGATGCTCATCTTGGGTCACTATAATCCTCCCATTGGGTCAATAGTCTCAATAATTCCAACTGTATAAACAGCACAGAGCATGATTTGGACTATACTGTACTAATTCCAGAACTTCTCTCAGGAAGTTGCCTTTTATAATAAAGGCCTGTCATCCTCTTTTTCTATTTTCCACTGCACATGGGAATCATTGACACTTTTTACTTCCCATGGGCCACCCTGGCCTTGGCTGTTTCCTATCTCCGTTAAAATATATTTGATAATATATTTTTTATACTTCCTGATAGTGTTAAATTACCTAAACTGCCAAGTGCCAGTGGCTCACGCCTGTAATCCTAGCTACTCAGGAGGCTGAGATCTGAGGATCACCTTTGAAGCCAGCCTGGGCAGGAAAGTCTATGGGATTCTCATCTCCAATTAACTTCCAAAAAGGCTAGAAGTAGAGCTGTGACTCAAGTGAGTCACAGTCACTTTTTTGCTCAAGTTCCTTGAGGACAGTGCCCAGGCCCTGAGTTCAAGTCCCAGGACTGGCATGAGTGCTTGTGCACATGTGCTCACATGCATATGTGCACACACGCGCGCGCGCACTCACACACACACACACAAGTACCTGCTCTATCCACTTCACTGGGCTTTCACGGGGATCAAAGGAAACAATATTGTGAATAATCTAAACAATAGTTGAGAAATGTCTAAGAAAATCACAGAAACTTCTCTAATTTTTAACTGAAGCCCTCTTTTAAAAGATAAGGAGGAAAGAAAAGAGGACTCTTTACCTTTGGTTCTTACTTGATGCATACAATACCCTATGAATACTTGAGGTTGGTAATCTATCCCATGTCACACAACTGGTAGATGTCTGACTCCAAAGACCATGTTTTCTTTATTGCACCATGCTAACGGAGAAGAATGAATGCTCAGCATCTAAGAACATTTGAGCTCTCCCATTTGAAGAGATACACACTATACTTGGAAACACTAGTCAAATTTTAAAACACTTCTACCTTGTCTGGCTGAACCCTGTGACCCTACCTCTATAGACCCAGGTTCAGAGAACATTGGGGTCTAATGAATTTGGTTACATTCCCTTTCCTTTTTTCTTCACTCTGAGCTCTGCTTTATCCTCATAACTTCAGGCCTGCCTTTAGTTCTCTTCCCTACTCTGTCTACCTCTGCCTCAATTTCGCACAAAACAACTTTTCTCTACCTGTTTAAATCAACTCATGCTTCCTTTAACAAAATCCTTTTCCCAACTAAGTTTATGCAGCACTAAACCCATTTTTATACTCCCAACTCCTCTCTGAGCCCACATATCCATTTAACCCAAGTAATTCACTACAATAAGACAAGTTATCTATTTTGTGTTTTGCCACACATCTCTTACTTAGCTGTGCTAATCATTTTCAATTTAAGGTTGTATCATTCATTTTGTACAGGGTGCTTAAGTCCCCAGAATTGTGGCTTGGCTCTGAAAGCAAGATTTAAAACTGCAGTCCCTGTCTTCAAGGAGACTACAGTGGTGGGGTGGTGGTACAGTCTATCTACATACGTATTGACCAATATGAGAAGGTACAATGTGTAGACAGGGAGGGGAATTGCCATGTAGATGCCAACTAGAAGCAGAGGCACAGGGAAAACACTAGTCATATTAAACACTTCCATATTGCCTGCAATAATTATACTGCTTTTCAAAACAAAAGGAAGAAAAATGGGAGAGAAAAAAGGTAGGCCTGGTCTACATCTCTGCAACTATTATATTACTTACTATACCTCTCATTTGTGCAAGTTAGAAAGCCTGTGTATTATTTTTCTATAACTGATATAAACACAAAATAAAGACAATGCAATAAGTTACACATCAGCACAAATGGTGGGATGCTGGAC